AGAGAGAATGAGAGAGAGAGAGCACATGAGAGGGGGGAGGGTCAGAGGGAGAAGCAGGCTCCCTGCTGAGCAGGGAGCCCGATGCGGGACTCAATCCAGGGACTCCAGGATCATGACCTGAGCCGAAAGCAGTCACTTAACCAACTGAGCCACCCAGGCGCCCTGCAGCTTTTGTTAAAAGTGCAGTTGATAATGACACACTCCCACTTTTCTCCTGTGCACCTCATTTCCTGTGCTCCTATTCTTTCTCCCTCCTGTGACTCATCTCTTCTTTCCTCCATTCATCCTTTGCTCTTTTTCTTTCCCATTCCCTTTCTCTCTGCGTATACTTACCTGTAGGCATTTATTAATACTGGAATACAGTTGAAGAGATCACTGGCCTCCAGTTTAGACATTCTTTCCTGTATTTGTCTGTCAATTTTATTGCCTTGGCTAAAGCAATTGGGTTTTCCTTGTTCATTTTTGTTCAGTGAAGATAATTGAGACCGTGGAAAGCAGTTTTGGTACTCTGTCAGATCATCATAGATTTTAGGAGTGTAACAAGATGTATGTGAAAGATTGACTAATTACTCAGTTGGGTATAATTGGTTAGTTTTATCTCATCAGCTTTCTTAATTGGTAATAGATGGGAAAATGATGTTGCTTTTTTCTTTTTTACTCAAATTCTTGGCATTTAACTCATTTGGCGAGAGCTTAGCCTGAATATAGGACTTTATTTTGAAATAACTTAAAGAAAAGTTGTCCTTTAAAAAGAAGAAAACTTGGGATGCCTCGGTGGCTCAGTCATTAAGTGTCTGCCTTCGGCTCAGGTCATGATCCCAGGATCCTGGGATCGAGCCCCGCATCAGGGTCCCTCTTCAGCGGGGAGCCTGCTTCTCCCTCTCCAACTCCTCCCTCTGCTTCTGTTCCCTCTCTTGCTGTCTCTCTCTGTCAAATAAATAACATCTTAAAAAATAAAAAGAAGAAAACTTACAGGTTTTTTTTTTTTTTTTTTTACTAAAGGCAGCCGGTCTTCATCCAACTGCTGAGCAGATTGAAATGTTTGCCTACCATCTCCCTGATACAACACTTTCTAATCTCATTGTAAGTAAGAACTCATTTTTAAATCTCTTCTAAAATCTAAAATTTCTTTTCTAAAAATGTTGATATGTCAGACAATTATTAGTTAATCTCCTGGGCATCAGTGGATAGTCTGTTTTTGTGACATTGCTACTTGTGAAGTTTATCTTGAAAGTGAAAAAAATGTTCTCAGAAAATCCTCTGGGACTTTTGTCCTGAGGAATTTTCTGAGTATTTCAGGTTGGGAAGGCTATGGGGGAGGTCTTTTAGCTTGGGAAGGCAGATTAAGCAGGCCTTTCTAGAAAACTGTTACAGATTTAAAGAGATTGTCGTTTGTAGACTTGAGTTCTTTATTCATGCCCGCTTAGGCAGTCCAGTAATTTATTTTTACCCCCCCCAGGATATTTTTGTAGATTTTTCACAAGTTGATGGGCAGTATTTTGTCTGCAATATGGATGATTTTAAATTTTCTGCAGAGTTGATCCAACATATTCCATTAAGTCTACGAGTGAGGTATGTTTTCTGCACAGCTCCTATCAACAAGAAGCAGCCCTTTGTCTGTTCTTCACTGTTACAAGTAAGCCTTTGTCTTTATATTTTGAGTTGTTTCAAGTCCGTGCATTTCCCCAAACAATATTTTGTTATTCAAATTAAAACAATTGGAGAGTATCTTTCTTTCTTTCTTTTTTTTTGAAGATCTTATTTATTTGAGAGAGAGAGAGTGAGAGAGACCATGAAGGGGGTGAGGGTCAGAGGGAGAAGCAGGCTCCTTGCTGAGCAGGGAGCCTGATGCAGAACTCGATCCTGGGACTCTGGGATCATGACCTGGGCCAAAGGCAGTCATTTAACCGTAACTGAGCCACCCAGGCGCCCCTGGAGAGTATCTTTCGATATGGGATACTATATAAGAAGTTAAATATAAAGTGGCTCTTTTTTTCTTACAGGCAATTTTTTGGGGTAATGGGGAATTGTTGCTTTGTATTTGGGTTTGTATGGTAGCCTTTGTGAAGAAGCTAAAACAAAAACAACTAATTTTTTTTCAAGGGGGGTTCTTTGCCTAATGATACACTTTTTTTTTTTTGGTCTGCTTTTTAATATTTGTTCATTTATTTATTTATTTTAAGTAGACTCCATGCCCAACATGGGATGTGAACTCACAGCCCTGAGATCAAGAGTCACATGCTCTGGGATGTCTGGGTGGCTCAGTTGGGTACCTGCCTTTGGCTCAGGTCACGGTGCCAGGGTCCTGGGATTGAGTCTCGTATTGGGCTCCTTGCTCAGTGGGGAGCTTGCTTCTCCTTCTGCCTGCTGCTCCCCCTGCTTGTGCGCATGCTCTTGTGTGCTCTCTGTCTCTCTCTTTGTGACAAATAAATAAATAAAATCTTAAAAAAAAAAAAGAAGTCACATGCTCTACCAACTGAGCCAGCCAGGTGCTCCGATACACTTCTTTCTTAATGGCATTGGTTAATATTTTTTGGAAGGAGAAGGGGAGTAGGGGTGAGCTGTGGCAATAGTATTCAGTTTTCCTAATTATAAGGCACTGAGCCAAGGATTGCTGTGTTTTATGAGTTTGGTGCCAAGCTTCCAGCCCCTTTTTTTTTCATTCTTTTGCATAGGGTTGCAAACCTCTGCCTTCTGAGGAGCACAGGATGCACCCAGACAAGGGTGGACAGAGAAGGGCAGTGGAAGCTGAACTTCTAGCCCCCTGCCATGTCCTCTCACCTTGCAGTGCCCTTGCCTCTCCCCCTATTGCCTCTGCCTGGAGTTCCATCCCACTAAACCCCCACAGGCCTCCTCTCTGAATCCTCCTCGGACTTATAGTCTCACCACTGTCTTCTCTATAGAACTCAGCATTCTGCGTACTAGCTGTGTTCCTACCAAATCTGTTTCTAAGTTATGTTCTAAATTACTTTGAAATCACATAAATAATACATAAATGCTTTCTCGCTGCACAAATTAAAACACTACGGATAGGTTAAATTGGGTTGCCACCCCCAATCCCAGTCTTTGACAGAGCTGTAGTTAACAGTTTGTGTCACTGCAGACCTCTTCCGTTGTGTTTGCCTACATATGTGTACATACAGAAATTCTAGTTTTGTTGCGTGGGTGTGTTTTCCCATAAATGTTGATGAATTATTCTGCAGCTAGCCTTTTTCTTTTCCCATTAATATGTCTTAGAGGTATTGCAAGTCCAGGTATTTACCTAGAAAATATGTTTCTTAGAGCTGACATTTATGGGAGAGTTAGTTAGCATAAGGTTGAAGTTTATGGAACAAAGTCTCAAATGCTATAAACTGACCTGGATGGAGCGCGAGTTCATGGCCCCGACCCCATTTATACCATCCTTCAAACAGCTATTCTAATGAAGCAGCAGCATTTTACTAAGGAGTAAGAAGTCTGGAACGGTACAGGCCAACAGTTGCTTATATGTTCTGTTATTGGTTAGCATGTGAAATTTAGAGATATTTCCTTTTTTCTTTTTTTTTTTAAATATTTATTTAATTGACAGAGAGAGACAGTGAGAAAGGGAACACAAGCAGGGGGAGTGGGAGAGGGAGAAGCAGGCTTCCCTCGGAGCAGGGAGCCCTATGTGGGACTCGATCCCAGGACCCTGGGATCATGACCTGAGCCGAAGGCAGTCGCTTAAATGAACTGAGCCACCCAGGCGCCCCTCCTTTTTTCTTGATCACCATTATTACTGAACTATAGCTCAATCCCATTGATGGCCTCTGATGCCCCCTGGGATAGTTGTTTGGAATCAGTGTTCTGGGGAGCTCCTTTAGGGCTGGCTGTTGGATGGAGGTATCTGATAGGTGTCTCTCCCTTCTCTTCTCTGGGCAGCTCCATACTTAGCTCTTTGACATACTGGGTTTCCACTAGTTTGTGGCCACAAATATTAAAGCCACTGTCTTTGTAAGAGAAATTGAGTTTGGCTTTCCTGCTTTAGCAGGTTAGTATGGTCAGATTTCCATCCTTCGTGGCTATCCTGTTTGGCATTTATTAAGCTTAGCAGAATGCACAACTGAATTTAATAAAATCATAACATTATTTTTTTCTAAGATTTTATTTATTTATTTGACAGAGAGAGAATGAGAGCACAGGCAGGTGGAACGGCAGGCAGAGGGAGAGGGAGGGGGAGAAGCAGGCTTCCCGCTGAGCAGAGAGCCCGACATGGGGCTCGATCCCAGGACTCTGGGATCATGACCTGAGCCGAAGGCAGACGCTTAATCGACTGAGCCACCCAGGCGCCCCAAATCATAACATTATTTAACCACAATTGTTCTAAAACTCCCTTGCCTCTCTGAAGTATTGACCTTGCTTAGGTTAAACATTTAGAGAGAATTTTCCCTAACCATGAAATGAACCATTTGAAATCAGCTTATTCTTGAAGCTAAAGATTTTAAACTCTTGTTCTAGAGGTCTCATATGGTTGTGGTCTGTCTTCTATAGACAGACCATATTTGGTTGTGGTCTGATGCATAATCCTGCCTAGCATTGTTGGGGAGTGGGAGCAGCCTGGTTTTCCAAGCACATTCTCCAACAGTGTCCTGTGGTTCCAGAAGCAGGTGTGGTGGTCTTATGATATTGATGAGGAAACTGAAGCACAGAGTGGTGGCTTGGCCAAAACAATACAGCTGAGTGAAGAGGCGGAGTCTCTTTACCAGTTTGACTCATATGCAGCCTTGCACCAAGCCACCCCAAAGGGTTTCTTTATGATAAGAGAGGACATTAACAAGATACAGCTCATATTTGTAGTTACAGAACTATTGGATGAAGGGATAGAAATGAGAGTCTTCGATGTCTATCCAGAACTTAGAACATTAATGTTCATAAAAGTTAACAGACTTAGGCTCTGGAAAGTTCGTTCTTGTACAACTTCTGATGCACATATTATTGCCCTGGTTTTGGAAAGTGAAGGAAACCCTCTCCCCCTTTTTTTCCTTAAAAGTATCTTTATAAAATATTACATGTTCTAAAAAATATAGAAAAGTATAAAGAAGGAAAGATACCAGCCTGCTTATTGAAACATAACCACAGTTAATGTTTTGTTGTGTTTTCTTTTTCTAATTGCAGACTTAAGTGAATTTTGATTCTTTTACCAAACTCTTTTCTTCTCTTTCAGTTTGCCAGGCAGTATAGCAGGAATCAACCACTGACCTTCTCATGGTTACGCAGATATATTAAGTGGCCATTACTTTCACCTAAGAATATTAAAGACCTCATGGATCTAGAAGCTGTCCATGATGTCTTGGATCTTTACCTCTGGCTAAGGTATCAAATTTTTCCTTTATGTACTCTCGTTTTTCTAAGTAATAGAGGAAATCAAAGATTTTATGAATATGGTCTTTTGATCTCAAGTTAGAAACATTTTTGCAGGGTGTTGTTCTATGTTATGTTTGTTGTCCATTTTGGCTGTTGAGCCTTGTTTATACCCATTCTAAAAATGACTGAGGGACTTACGATTCTAGTTAAGATAGGTAGGTGAGAAGGTTTACTAGATCCTTGCTACACAAATGGTGGTCTGTGGACCAAAAGCATTGGCATCACCCGGGAGCTTGTTAGAACTAGAGAATATCAGGCCCACCCCAGACTTAATCAAACTGCATTTTAACAAAATATCCAGGTGATTCACTTGTATATTAATATTTGAAAGGTACTGTGCTAGGTCAGTGATTTTCAAAGGTTGGGCATGTACCACCGGGGAGCATATCGGAATCACTTAAGATATGCGTGATGACCTACCCTCATAATGACAATATTTCTCAGGTGTGCTGGTGCTGAAATAAAGGTTGAGCAAACGCACTGGACAGAATTTGCAACAACAGTATTTGGGATCCATCAGTGTCAAGGTGGAGTTATGTCAGTGAGATAAGTCCAATACTGTGAGAAGAGCTGTTGTTATAACATAATATGTCTCTTTCCCAGCTACCGGTTTATAGATATGTTTCCAGATGCCAGCCTTGTTCGAGACCTCCAGAAAGAACTAGATGGCATTATCCAAGACGGTGTACACAACATCACCAAACTGATTAAAATTTCAGAGACACATAAGCTGTTGAATTTGGAGAGCTTGTCAGCAGAGAGCCAGTCGCGATCATCAGGAACTTTAAAGGGCCAAGCTAGAAGGGTGCGTGGCACCAAAACGTTAGGGAGTAAAGCTGCTGAGCCACCCAGCCCCAGTGCGGGAGAGAAATCCCTTGCTTCCAGATTGGTGCAGCAAGGCCTCCTCACTGCAGACATGCTGAAACAGCTAGAAAAAGAATGGTTGACACAACAAATGGAGCATGACAAAGACAGAACAGAGCCTGGGACTCACTCAAAAGGGACAAGAAGGAAGAAGAAGGAACCTGATTCAGATTAGTTTTATTTTTATTTTTGCAAATAAAAATATTTTAAAACCCTTTTTTTCTCATATGTATTTACTCTCTGCTATGGTATTGTGGCTATCACTTACTGTTTTTTTTTTTTTTTTTTTAAAAAACAAGTGCTTACTTGTCACCAACAAAATAGCCTGGTCTTCTTTCCACTCAGGTCATGTTCTAAAACACAACTGTTTTGTCTTCCCTTGCAGTTTTCTAGCAGGTTTTGAAGTACTTGCTTGAAAGCCCTCCTTGGATTATTGTGGATTCAGCTGTACATCAACATGAGGCTTAGATGTCCACCTCAGTTCCAGCAGACCAGAGCTAGGTAATTTAATAAAATGTGGACAGTACATAACTGGTTAGGAATAATAACCAGTGGCTTGTAATCCTTTGTACATTGTGTTTGTGGACTAGTGTAAATCTACAGAATGGAATTGGGTCCTTTGAAAAAATGACTTAACTGTGAATCACAAACATACAAAACAATCATAAAACACCAAAGTTTCATACAGCTTAGAACCAGGAGTCTGTAATTACCATGCAGTCATTCTAGGTGTGTCCGACTCAGACCTATTAGCATATAATGAAAAGTTAGGGTTTGTTAAGAGACAAGCAAATGGATAAATGAATCAGGCTATTTCCCTCCTCTATTTCAAAGCCGTATAAAGTACATAAACTTGAGCAGAGATAGCAATGTTTATAAACAGACTTCAGAGTTAATCACTGTTACCTAAAAGCCTGTCACTTAACACGGGGACAATTTCAGACAGAGATGATAAATAACAGTTGTCTTTATGGGCAAAAATGCCAGAGAAGAACAAAAAACTTTCGAAATAGTATTGGGCTTAGAAGACAATTCAAGAAGCTACTTTTGGTAAATTTGGGTAGAGGAGGTGTTCTTGAACTTGGGCCTTCGAGGCTACACTTTGATAGTCTACCCTAAAATTTGATATCATGTGCTCGCTATCCACTTCATGCCCTTTGAAAAGTCCCTGGTGCTTATAGAAGCTTGGGAAAGTCTAGTAACTGCTTTGAACTGCCAATTGACACACCTATAATTTGCAGTGAAATTGATAATCTCTGCCAGAAAGTCTTTCTCAAGTCCTTGTAATCAGGCTGAGACATGTATGTATGTATGTATGTGTGTGTGTGTGTACATATATATTTTTAAATTTAATTTGTAATGTTCACAAATTTCCTTGTTTCTCTTAACAGCTACATTTTCATTTTCTTAACATGTATATCACTTATTGTTATCCTTTTAAAACTGGTAAATAGGGGCACCTGGGTGGCTCAGTCCTTTAAACATTTGACTCTTGATTTTTGGCTAAGGTCACGATCACTGGGTTGTGAGATCGAGCCCCACCGTGGGGCTCCATGCTCAGCACAGAATCTGCTTAAGATTCCTCCCTCTCCCTCTGTACCCCACCTTGCTCTCTCTCTCTGTCAAAAACAAAAACCAAAACAAAAAAACAAACCTGATGGATGGATGTTGATCACATTGTATCTATAAAATTCCCTTTGCATATAAGTATTTGAAGTATAATAAATTCAAAACAAATTCATGATATAAATTCAAAACAAAGCTTACTTGGAAATAAGAACTTTCCCCTAAGCCACACTTCTGTACTTTAACTTAGCTCTAATCTGTATACATAAGCCAAATAAGCTTAAGCTATTAATTTTTTTTTTTTTGTCAAAGGAATGTATACACAGCTTAAAAACCAGAGACAAGACTTTTTGACTCTTTAGTATTTACCTTATTGATGCTACATAATATGCATCTCCTACTATTTCCTGAGTTAAGACATTAGCTACTGATTTCCTGTTACTATCAGGTGAGGATTTTAGCTTTCTTAAATCTTTCCTTAAATTACTCATTCTCTCCATTAACCCTTTTTTTAAATTAATTAATTAATTAAAAAAAATTTTTTTAAAAATTTTATTTATTTATTTGAGACAGAGAGAATGAGAGACAGAGAGCATGAGAGGGAGGAGGGTCAGAGGGAGAAGCAGACACCCCGCCGAGCAGGGAGCCCGATGCGGAACTCGATCCTGGGACTCCAGGATCATGACCTGAGCTGAAGGCAGTCGCTTAACCAACTGAGCCACCCAGGCGCCCCCCCCCCCTTTTTTTGTTTTTTGAAGATTTAGTTACTTGAGAGAGAGTGCACATGAGCAGGGGGAGGGGCAGAGGGAGAGGGAGAAGCAGACTCCCCGCTGAGTAGAGAGCCCAACGTGGGGCTCGATCCCAGGACCCTGAGATCATGACCTGAGCCCAAGGCAGATGCTTAACCGACTGACCCAGGTGCCCCTCCATTTCCCTTTTGATACAGCTGTTACTCCTTTTTTTGTTTTTTTACTTTTTTGGGGTTGTTAAATCAGTATTTAGAAATTATGCTTATGACTTTTGTACTACTTCATAGGTCATTTCTCTAACTTCATTTTCTAATCTATTAAAATCTTAGTTTATCATAGTGTTTCTTAGAGCTCTTTATTATTATTTGATAGTTCCTTTTTTCCTTTTGAGAGTAAGAGTAACAATATAATGTCTATGTCTTGAGAAAAAAAAGATTTTAGATACACATTTGAAAAGAAAGATTTAGATACACATCTGAATCATGGCATTCAGAAGACTAAAGGGGAGTATGGCGTTGAGGGATAAAAAAGGTAAGGGTTTTGGGCGCCTGGGTGGCTCAGTTGGTTGGGCAACTGCCTTCGGCTCAGGTCATGGTCCTGGAGTCCTGGGATCGAGTCCCACATCGGGCTCCCTGCTCGGCGGGGAGTCTGCTTCTCCCTCTGACCCTCCCCCCTCTCATGCTCTCTCTATCTCAGTCTCTCTCTCAAATAAATAAATAAAATCTTTAAAAAAAAAAAAGGTAAGGGTTTCGTTGCTTCACACGAGAATATTGGCATTCTAATAGCTGACAGTCCCCAGCTCTAAGAAAATAGATGCTTTCAGTGCTGGGCTTCTTATGGAGACTTTTGTCCATTAGAAGAGGAATCTCTACCTTGAGAGATGGTGGAAGAAATACTTCCCATGACTTCGGTCTTCTAAATTCTGCACAGTGATTTAATCTCATCACCACCTGGTCCATATACCGTGACTTTACTCAGATATCTATACAAATTCATATAAATGATTTCCAGCTGAATTACCAATTCTGCCTGCTGTTATTTAATTTTTAGTAATTTTAGAATTCATGTATTTTCACATTTTTTTGACTAAATCTTGCCCTGATCTTAAAGCTTATCTTGCCCCTTTTCCTAGGCTAATGCTCTTCTTCCCTTACTAATGTAATACATCATATCTTGTATTGTTATAGCAAAGTTTACAATGTATATGCATACATTACTTCATTTACTGACAGTCCTGGTACAGTATTTCTTAGAGGCGGTCATCTTCTTAGCTGAATTTAAACTGCCTGAAGCTAATAAAGAATGTTGTAAAATGTGGGGCGCCTGGGTGGCTCAGTCAAGTGTCTGCTTTCAGCTTAGGTCATGATCCCGGGGTCCTGGGATCGAGCCCCACATCGGGCTCCCTGTACCACTGGAAGCCTGCTTCTCCCTCTCCCACTCCCCCTGCTTGTGTTCCCTCTCGCTGTGTCTCTCTCTGTCAAATAAATAAAATCTTAAAAAAAAAAATGTAAAATGTAATCAGAGAATATAAACATTTAATACTATCAAAATAAAAAATATTGGAAAATGTGTCAGAAAGTATACCTTTAAATCATTCCCAGAAAGTCTTATTAGGAAATTCCTTAGAGATTCATATAAGCTTTTTATCAATTATGACTTTTCCTAATTAGCGCAAAGTTAAATTTCTCTTTTTGAACTTAAAACTTCTGCTAGGAAGAAAGTACTGAATTTTTTTTGAGTGTCATAAAGCTCTTCCACCCCCTCCCTTCAGTTCCATTATTTTTAGTTACCTTATTCTTGTTTCATGGATGCAATATCTTATTTCCCTAAAGATACTTCAGGTTTTTTTTAAAGCTTTTCTTCTGTTTTCTATATACGTATATTTTTTTCTTGTTTGGTTTGACTTTTTTTTAAAGGTTTCATTTATTTGAGAGAGAGAGAGAGGGGAGGGAAGGGGAGAGGGAGAGAGAATCTGAAGCAGACTCCACACTGAGCACAGAGCCCGATGTGGGGTTTGGTCCCACGACTGCAAGATCATGACCTGAGCTGAAACCAAAAGTCAGATGCGTAACTGACTGAGACACCCAGGTGCCCCTGGTTTGATTTCTGCCTTTACTTTTGGTAACTTTTCTTGAGTGTCTAGTAATCTTTCGCTATGTTCATATTTAAAAGTGAGGAATTAAGCTAAGCTCTGTTGACATGGATAGGGCTTATTAACTTCAGTGTTTTGATGTAGGTTAATTGGATCATAAGCTGGCTTTTTTTTAAATTAAGAAATAATTGACGTATAACATTGTATAAGTTTAAGCTGTACAAGGTGTTGGTTTGATACATTTATATATTGCACTATGATTACTACAGTAGCATTAGCTAACATACGTTATCATGTCACATATTTATCATTTCTTTTTTGTATTGAGAACAGTTGAGATTTAATCTCTTAGTAACTTTGAAGTTTATAATATAGTACTGTTGACTATAATCACTTTGTTCTACCTGAGATCTCTAGAACTTATTTATCTACTTGTTGTAAGTTTGCACCCTTAAACAACATATCCCCAAATTCCTTATTCCCTAGTCCCTGGTAACTGTCATTCTACTTTCTGTTTTTACAAATTCAATTTCTTTTTAGATTCCACCTATAAGTGATACCATACAATATTTGTTCTTTTCTGTCTGACTTATCTCACTTAGCATAATGCATTCAGAGCCCAACTATGTTGTCACAAATGGCAGGATTTCCTTGTTTCTCATGGCTGAATGATATTCCATCTTCTTTTTTAAGATTTATTTATTTATTTTAGAGAGAGTGAGTGTGTGAGATGGGGGGGAGGGGCAAAGGGAGAGGGAGAGAGAGAATCTCAAGGAGACTCCCTGTAGAGTGTGGAGCCCGACACAAG